ATATATAAAATGTATAAAAAATATGTTTCTTGGTTAAAAGGTGTTTTGCTGTTTTGCTCTTAACTTGCACCTCTTTGAACGCCTTGCCTTTTTGTGACAGTGTTGGGATTGCACAATATCATGAAATATGTGTGTTTGGAGGACAAGTCTGAGCGCAAGTGACATAAAACTTGTCAGACAATGAGCTAGGAGGAAAAATATTGCACTAGTAATCCTCCAGCTGGCTCCTCTAATTCCTTGCAGAGTGGATGCAGCGTCAGCGTTCAATGGGCGGCCTGCGCTGCACTCCAGCACCCGCGCCAAGGGGTAGAGAGTGCTAGGGACCGTTCCACTGCAAAATATCGATTGAAAAAGGAATAAAGAAAAGAAAACTGGAGCGTGGTTTACAGGGGAGAACACAATCAGTCTGTCAGCCAGCCCCCTTCATCCCGAGCTGTTATCCTCCGAAGAGTTTTATGGCTGGCTCTAAAAGGGCGCAGAAGGAGCCTATAGAGGTGGCCTTTTACGATGTACTACAAAAGATATGAGCGGCGCTTCCCCGGCAGAGCCTGGGACTTCTGTATGTACTAAACTCAACCCCGAACCGCCTATTATTGAGTGCAAGCGGCCAACTCACAGGGACAAGCGCTTCGCATGGCACAGATCAGGACCTGCTCGAGTTAGTTGTTGACCTCAAGGTCAGGTAGATGTCCATCAAGACACTTTGCAGTTCAGTCTATCAGATGGCCCGTTCCCTGTTCTTTGGCCACATCCGTTAAATCCGATTTTCGGTAGTTCTCTATGCTGCGCGTTAATTCGCTATTATAGTCCTCCCTTCGTGTCTATAATATTTGACATTTTATTACCTCTTGTGCAAGAATCATTTCCACACCCAGACTATTATATTAGATTCAGCACAGACATTTCTTCTCGCTCATGTTGTCACAATAGCTCCTATGACTGCAATAAAGTAATTTATTCATTCTTAGAACTAAAATGTTTCTTTTTAAACGTCACCGACCCGCCATCACAAGTCATAAAGTGGAACAAGAGTTGTTTTTCTTTCTAAATGCAAAAGTTAATATTTATTTTGCATGTAATAATTAACTTATAATGTATCTGGTAGAAAAACAATAAT